GTTAATTGTCTTGTTTAATTTAATTTTCGAAATACAACACAAAAATAAAACTATTTTTGTTATAACCCCAACGTTGCATAAAGTTTCGCAGTTTTTTTCGTTTTGTAATTAAATATTTTGAAACGTGGGTACCTATAGGGAATATTCACATTTGGCYATCATAAAATCTAATTCGTTACCAGAAATCACTCTTGATATTGAAACATTTTTTCTGATGTAAAACATGTGTGTGTGGTAACACAATTAGAAAAAAAAAAGGGGGAAGACAAGTGAATAACGTTTTAACATGTTTAAAACACATTAGGTGTTTCGAGCAATCACTGAAAGTATTGGACGTGTTAAATTCTTAAATTTGAATTCAACGATATAAAACTGAGCGAATACTGCCTGTCGGGCAGCTATATAATACAAATAAAATTATTTAATGATATTACTCTGATTAAAGATATTTATTTTACTTCCTATAAGGTATTAATACTACAGTGGGTTAAATTCATTTTTTCCAAAAAAAAAAAATTTTAAAGTGTCAATAAAATGTTAAATAACACCATATATATATTAGCTCAAATCGTTATTCTTTGTTTAAATATCTAATTTCGTGTTATTTCGCTAATAAAACTGATATTTTAATGTGTCTATAAATAGRTCAAAACGAATTAACATATTTTGAAAAATATGTCATGTATAGAAAATGATAGTACGAATTTTAAATATCTAAGGTTGTTAATTTTTGAATTACAACAAAATGATAAAATACTTCTACGAAAATTATCGTTAATTAACAGGTGAATATCCTAGTCTAACTTCAAACGCTCATAAATAATTATTAAAATGTATGAACGTTTTTTAAATTTATTAATTATAGGAGTAAAACATTTTGTCTTTACGGATATTATAATTTTCATTCAGAATAATATTTTTTGAAAATGTAGTAGGTTTTAAGTTTTACAATGTGTTTTACAACATTTAAATCAAACTATTAAATTTAAAAAAAWAAAATAATAATAATAAGATTAATATAATATTTCATAACTATTCTTAACTACATATGCTGATATACCCATTCTCTCATTCTTCATCACTCTGTAGAATCATATTTTCATAATAATTATATACCTATAGAGCATAAGTACATTTATTTATCACAGAATTTAAAATATGTGATGCCTACAGTCATTACAATTTACAGTATCCTACTAGATGACGAATT